CGAGAACTAACGATTTGAAACATTGTATCGCATACTTTTACCGGCAATTCCGGAACCCTGCGCACTGCGCAAACGATTTCTTTGAGCGCAATTCTTCCTTTGCTGTGAGCCGTCAGTATGTGATTATTCCATCCCCCATTCATGGAAAATTTTGCACCAAGATATGTGAATGTTTTGACGCGGTCAATTTCTTTCCTAGCGTAGTGACCATTTCTCTTTGCTACCCCAGATAAACCCATTTTTGAAGACTACTACTTTCGTTTTTTGAATGTTTACTTTTAGTCCCCATGTCTCACTATACCGTTCTAGAATATTTAAACTCTTCTGTAAGCCCTCAATCGTCTCCGAAACATAAGACTAAATCATCAGCATATAGTAGTCCGGGAATTTTCAAGCCATCAATTACCGGGGCCGCTGTATCTCGCTTCCTGTACCCACGTCAATAAAATCGTTTATAAACAAGATAAACAGCAGCGGTGAAAGAGGACACCCTGTCTTACTCCTATTGTCGATTTTATTTTTTGCGTTATAATTCCCGTCACCGCACTCACCGCAGAAATTTACTTCCTTATACATACTCTGCAATACGTTTAAAAACTTTACGTGCAGACGCCTAGCTCTATTAGTTTCGCCATAAAGCATCCCTATTAATAGAGTCAAAACCTTTTCGAAATCTACAAAACTGCAATAATAGTGGCTTCGTTTACGCGCCAGCGCCTGTTTTACTAGGGTATCTAACAAATATATTGTCGGTTGTCGCGTAGCTAAAGCCTGCTTGCAATTTCTGATATTTTAACCGTACTTTCCGCCCATTCACTCAGTCGCCCGTTTGAGTATTTTACAAAACAGTTTGCTCAGCGCTGCAAAAGACTAATTCCGCGATAATTTTGTGGGCAATTCGCATTCCCTTTATTTTAAAAATCGGTTGAGGATAGCTGTACTCCAGTTTCCGGATACAGCCGGAATCAGCAATTGCATTCAGAATAACTTCACATACTACTTTCTCGGTCTATGGTGCAACAATTCCGAAATGAATTTTTTGGAATGCCGTCCGCGCCACCTGCCTTCTTATTATTCATTGTTAGAATAGCCCTATTACTTCCAGTCCAGGTAGAGTTCGTCTAATTCAAGCACACTCTGGTCATGTGAAGAATACCTTGCCCTGTTTCATGGCCTCTTTACCTGTGAACGTCCGAGAAAAATATTCACCCACGCGTGCTGCTGAAATTTCATTACTTGAATTTATTTATGCGCAAAGATCTGATAACGTCCCAAATTGATTACTATAATGTTTCTTAGAATTGTCTGTATTCTTGCTGCCTCACTATACCTGCCAAGATTTCTTCGATTTCGTTAATTGTCGCCTCGTACTCCTACGCTAATAACAAATAACTG